GCCGTGGTCGACCAGAGGCACCTGGTGGTCGACCAGAAACACGTGATGGTCGACCAGAGGCACTAGTGGTCGACCAGAAGCATGTGATGGTCAACCAAAGCACTTGGTGGTGTCCAGGTCGACTGGGTAACCTACTCGACGAGTTCTGCGGAGGCACGCGAACGTCGTCGAGGTCGCGATGGCGAAGGCGACTTCGGGCTGGTATCCCGAAGTCGATGTGGCTCGTCAGGCGCAGACAACAGCCGACGGATGCACAACGGTGCAAGTCGGGCCAATCATCTGCGCGCACCTGCGAGCTTGCGCGCTGCTGCCATCTACGGGTGCAACGCTGGACAGCCGCACTGCTGCAGCGTTGGCACGCCGTCGACCTGCTGTGTTGGCAGGTCACCTTTCTACAGTGCTGGCGCGGCTCCTCTACGCAATGCAGGCAAGCGGTCGACCAAGCTGTGCTGGCGGTCGGCCAGGCTAGCTGCAGGGTTGCTAGGTGCCTGATGTAGGCATTGTTGTCATTTCTTGTTCAATTATTCTGTAATTTCGACTTTGCCTAGTGGAAACTCTTGCCGATTTCTTCCGTGAATGTGCAAGCACTATGGAACTAGGCAAAACTACGATCACTCTTAGTAGTTCGTGCCAACCCCCGTAGTCTAGCTCACTACCTTTGTAGAGTGTCTCTCCGCAGTTTCAAGTGGATTCTTGGCCATTCAGGGAGGACCAGCGCGAGTTTAAGACCCTTGAGTGGTTGGCAGCAAACGATGAGTTGTTTGGCGGCATGCTTCTAGGTGAGAATATATTCATTATATGCGTTTGATTCGGCTAGCGCACTGTATGTGGCACTACCACACTAACCAACAACCAACCCCCCCTTTATATCCACCGCCCCAAACCCCATCCTCGTCAGGATTCGATTTCAAGACGGCGAAGAAGGAGCTAAGGAGCTTCTGTCACATCTTGTCACGTCATCACGCCGGGGAAGATTTCCACCAGGGTCTTGGCGACGCAGCTATCCGAACCTGAAGACACTCTGGCAGGCCCTCGCTGTCCTTCCACTGAGCAGAGTGGAGTGTGAGAGAGGATTTAGTCGCCAGAACATCATCAGAAGCTTGCTGCGCACATCGCTGTGCGATGCTCGCCTTGGCGACCTCATCACACCAACCAAGATTGACACTGGCCCGGGATACGACCTTAGTTGGAGTAGGGCAGATATCACGGCCTGGGTGTAGCGAGACAGGTCGGGACTTGGTTTGGGCAAAATTGCCCGACGCACTGGCGCGCGACCTTTTCTCAATCTCATCGACCAGGCTCGCACCGCAGGTGGGGCGACCGAACCTCGTCCAAATAGATCGACCTAAATGCGTTTTTGCGATTGTAACTACAAGTTTTTGTCAGTAGAGCTACACTGTGAGATCCCCGATCGATCCTAAGGGGGGTTACAGGCGCGTTTGCCTGGGGGGTTATGGGCGCACTGACCCGCTACTGAAACAAGCCCTTTTATCCCAATGGTCTAGTGGTTGGGATTCTGACATGGTATCAGAGCGGTCTCGGGTTCGAATTAGGGTGTATGCACATGTTGGCCGTTGCCACTGTGCTCAGTCCTGGGCCTCCCAGTGTGGGGGGGTGTCAATAGAGCTACACTGTGAGATCCCCGATCGATCCTAAGGGGGGTTACAGGCGCGTTTGCCTGGGGGGTTATGGGCGCACTGACCCGCTACTGAAACAAGCCCTTTTATCCCAATGGTCTAGTGGTTGGGATTCTAACAGTTTTGATCTGTGGGAGTCGGTGGTCTTTCTCGATATCACTGTTTCGGTAGCGCGAAAATGTTTGGCGCGTCTGTCACGCTTCTTGTCTACATTCATTTTTTTTGTCACGTGTCCAACGCGATTTAATGAAACATTTAAGGAGCACGGAATTTAATCTAGGGCCGACAAAAAATAAACCCCGAAATACAGGGACCCAATTCGGGAGGCATCAACCCTAAACAAAAATGTCAAGGTGTTTAGGGTTGATGCCTCGAATGTGGTGCAATTCGGGAGGTATCAACCCTAAACACGGGAGCTGGCAAGGTGTTTAGGGTTGATACTTTGAAAGCGGTGCCTGCCTCCCTAGGGGTTTTAGCTTGTTTTACACCGTATAAGAATCAAGACCTAAAAAAATCAGCATAAGACAAGCCTTGTCGGCGCGACCAGACTGAAGTGACGTAACACGTCGCAAAATCTGTCTTTGGTGAAAGAATTGAAACCCCATGCTGTAATTTCGTGAATCTGACCGTAAATTCAAATTGCACCTGTAACGGCAAGATAAGTCCGTTCGCAGCACGAATATAACGTAGAAGCGCATGTAGGTTGATCCATTTGGATGAGGTTCGGTCGCCATACCTGCGGTGCGAGCTTGGTCAATGGGATTAAGAAAAGTTCGCGCGTTGGCGCGTCGCGTAATTTTGCCCCTGGTTTGGGAGGTGTTGCACTGAACGATGCCACTTTCATTGGTCGAACACCCTCACACTCTGACGAGGCGTGTAACATGTGGACGACGTTATCGGGACAGTGATCCATCGCAAAAAGGAACAGCATGCGTGGTCTGCGGAAAATCGCGAACACAGGTCGCGAAGACCGTGCGAAACAGTTTTTCGCAACACGTCAGATCAAGAGGGAGTTCACAAGTTCGAAATGTTCAAGAGCACCACGATACACCGTTTCAGATGAGAGTTTATAACATTTGTACCACCTGTAACCTATTTGGTTTTATCAGCCTCTCGTTCGAGAACTGATAAAAACCTGTTTCGTGCCCTAACTCCATCACTGCATCACTCCCATCACGGGATTTATGCACTACGTCATTACTAACCACGTTTAGCATTGCTCCACGATGGCTCCGCGGCGCCAGTCTTGGTTCCCTCTACAATGCCACACTCTCTGGAAAGCCGTCTCAGCTAGAAGGCTCAGCTGCGTTGCGATATCCCGCTCGTCCGTGACCGTTGCCGTTGTCTGCTTCAGTCTAGCATGCGGAGCCCTAGCCGCCATAGCATTCTTAGCAATATGCTACTGGTCCGTCTTCGGGCAGAACCTCTCCCCGCAGGCGGAGGAGTTCCGCGACTCGTGGGATTCGTGCGTGACGCAGCGCGTGGGGCATCTGTTCAGACTCAGCATGTTGTCGGACCTGCGCGCGCACGAGTGCACGGATCTCGTGAAAGCCGCCGTCGCCAGAGGCGAGGAGCTGATGGCGCGCGGGAAGGAGTTGCGCGCGCGCGGATCGGGCGGGGGGCCGCCGCCGGCTCCCGCGGATGGGTGCGCGGTGCAGTACGACGCGAGCGCGGATCCGTGGGACAGCCATCCGCTGCCTCCCGACAAGTTCTCGCAGTCAAACTGCCAGCTAGAATGGATGATCTACTCGTCTGAATGCGGCGCGAACATGGTGCGGCTCGCGGATTTCGCGCACATGGCGGGCATCAGCTTCTCCGTGATCGGAAGCCGCCAGCCCTGGACGGGCCAAGGCGGCCGTTTGCGCTCCATCCGCGACTTCGTCGCGGGGCTGCCGCGCGATCGCGTCGTGATCACCACCGACGCCGACGACGTCTTTCTCATGCCGCACCCCAAATGCCGCCCGCAAAACTTCCTCGACGCATTCTTTGCGCTCAACGCGCCGGTGGTTATCGGCGCGGAGATCTACTGCTGGCCGGATATGGGCAAACTAGAACCTTTCTACCCGCCCAGGAACAGGCACTCCGTGAATCGGTTTCTTAACGCGGGTGCTTATGTCGGGTACGCGTGGGCGCTGGCGGAGATCATCGATCTGATCTACGTGCGCGACTGCATGCAGGACCAGCGCGGGTTCATCCTCGCGTTCCTCGCGCAGCAGTACCTCTTCCGCGACATGCCGCGCGCGCCCAACCCGGACCCCGCCGCCGTACGCGCCGCGTGGGAATCGCCGAACGACGTGACGGAGGCAGTTCTAGCCCAGGCGGAGGCGGCGGAGTCGGCGAGCCGAGTGGCGTGGCGGAACAACCGCACGGTGCAGTTCGACTCCGCCATGTCGCCGTTCCACCGCCTGCCCGCCAAGCCCAGGCAGCGCGTCATGGACGAAGCGAGGCGCGCCGGGCACCGGGACGCGGCGTCTGTAATGGCGGCGCCGTTCATCAAGCTGGACCACTACAGCGCGCTGTTCATGCACCTGGGGGGAATGCCGTGGGAACATTTTGAGATTTTGGGTACAGGGGAGCAGGCGCTGGTGCGGCAAGCTATCTCGCATGGGGAGGCGTGCATCTTGCACCAGCAGGGGAATAAGCTCGCGAATCTGTCCATGACGTATATTATCAATGCAACGGGTCTTGAGGAGCTGAGGACGGCACGCGGTTATGTCCACAAGTAGAACAGGACGCAAGATCAGCTGCTGCTGCTGCCGCCGCCGCCGCCGCCTCTGCCGCCGCCGCCGCTGCCGCCGCTGCTGCTGCTGCTGCCTCCGCCACCTCCTCCGCCGTCGCCGCTGCTGCTGCTTGTAGCTAGGACCATCACGCATCGTTGAATCCGCCGCCCGTGCAGGTGCCGTGCTGTGTGCTGCTGCTGCTCTACTTCCGTACTGAAGTGCTCATACTTGGCTGGCTGGCTAGCTGGCTGGCTGACTGACAGACCACACTATGGAAGAGGTAATCCATGCCATGCCAGGCAATTCTTATCCTGGTCATACTATTTGCTTTGCCACACCAAATTGATTCCACTCCACACAAGGCACTCAATATGCTACATGTTTGTGCGGGACATGCACTACCAGGTGCGTGATTGGAATCCAGGGTTTTTTGGCGCGGCATGTGCGTCTTTTGTTGGCACTTGCTGTGATGTCTGGATGCTATTTACCTATCATTCTCTTGGGTTGATGTCTAATGGAAGAACGTTCTGGTGGTGATGACCTTGTTACAATACAAATCACACTTCGTATGGTTGTACAACTCTCTTATCGAGTCTGCAAATAACATATCTTATTATTTTGTGAAAACTGGTGCGGCCCCCCTCTACACCGAGACATTAACCACAGCAGGAGCAGCCTTGTCAACGCGCTTCATGATCCCCGCAATCACCTTCCCAGGCCCCAGCTCGTAACTCTCCGTCAACCCACGCGCCAGTAGCTGCTTGAGCGATCCCTCCCATTGCACGGGCGACGTAATCTGCTGTGCGAGAATGCGCTTGATGACAGCGGGGTCCGAGTGCGGGCGCATGTCCACGTTGGACACGATTGGGATGCGCGGCGTGTGGAATGTGGTGTTCGCCAGGGCTTCTTCCAGACGAGGGACGGCCGGGGCCATGAAGCGCGTGTGGAAGGCGCCTGCTACGGCTAGACGCACCTGGGAGGTTGGGAGACAGGGGGGGTGGAGGATGGGAGGGGGTGGGGGTGGAATGGATGGGAGAAGAGACGTGAAGACAGCAATCTGGATGGTAAAGAGATTAAATGGGAATACAGTGTTCCGGAGAGTGAGACGAGGTGGAGAGAGTGGAAGACAAGCGACCACAACATGTTAGGGAGGGGGGCTTACTGTCATGCGGGCCTTGAACGACTTGGCCTTGGCCTCCACCGCTTTGCACCCCTCCACACCTCCGGACACAGCATAATTACCCTGCACAAAGCAAAAAACAGGAGGAGCAGAGGGGGTGAGAAAGAATTAGCCACAGAATGAGGAAAAGTGGCGAAGAGGGACAAGAGGGCAGGGACGGGAAGAGGCGGGGAGAGGTAGCAAGGGCTGGTTGAGGCAGGGGGGAGAAGATGGCGGGGGGAAGGAAATTGGGCGGGGTAAATGCAACGTGCTTTACATCGAGCAAGTACCACCACAAAGAGCACCCCACCCCTCCGCCATCTCTCCCTGTCCCCCCACTCCCCCCCCCCCCCCCCCTCCCTTCAAACACTCTCTCCCTCCCCCCCCCCCCCCCTAATGATTCCTTGCACATCTCAGCGCACGCACGTTGCAGAGGAAGTTGGCGATCTGCACGCGCTGGCTCTCCTCCACGTCCTCGTTCGCCGCGTCGCACAGCTCCTGCACCTTGTCCGCGCCCAGCCCGATCACGCTCACCATCGCGCTCGGCGCCGCGTCCGCTGCCGCCTGGTGCAGCCAAGGAGAAAAAAAGGGGAGGAAGAGGAGAGGAGGGGAGGGGAGGGGAGGGGAGGGGGGAGGGGGGAGGTGGGGAGGAACCAGAGCTGTAAGAGATAAAGACCAAAAACATGAGCGTGGAAAAGGGTATCGCGATTAATCACACGGAATACCCGCGCAAAACCCTCCCCGCATAAATATGTTGCCTCCACGCGCACACACAATTATCGAATCTGCAATCCCGATGCTGCACTTATACACCCACTCTATTCCCCGTTCCCTTAACCAGCCCACGCCCTCCCGCCCCCATTCCCTCATCTCAATCGTCGCCCTCATCTCCGCGCGCACCTGCATGGCCTCGCCGCGCAGCTGCACGAGGCGCAGCCCGTCCTCGAAGCTAAACGCGTCGGCGAACGCGAGCGCCGTGTACTCGCCCAGGCTCAGCCCCGCCGCCACGTCGATGCTCGCCAGCTTCGCCGCGCCGCCCTCCTGCGCGCGCAGCGCCTCCACGGCCGCCAGTGACGCGACGTAGATGGCCGGCTGGCTGACGGCCGTCAAGTCGAGCTTCTCCTTGGGGCCGTTCACGCACACGTCGAGCAGATCGTAGCTGCACGCGGGAGCGGCAGGAGGGGATGAGACGGGGGACGCAGGAGGGTAGGAGATGGGGGATGAACGAACAGCGCAAGGGGGATCGCGAGGGTGAGAGAAAGAGGGGGCTGGAAGGAGAGTGCGTGCGGGCGAAACCGGAGTCGAGGACGCCGGTAGCGCATAAAAAAACAGCAATAACGCTCCAAGGAAACGATCATTACCAACCTTATAGAATGCACAATAGACTGTCTAGGGCGGGCCCAACCAGTCCATTCTCCCATTCATTGTTCTCGGCACCACTTCGAGTCTCTCCCCCTCGCCCTCTCCCCACCCATTCCCCCCAACCCCACCATATACCCGAATCCCTTTCCCTTCCCCTCCCCTCCCCCCCCTTTTCTCGAGGGACATAATCATCCCCAAACACGCGCTACTCACCCGAGGATCTCGCTAGCCTTGGCGAAAAGCGCCGCCGCAGCCGGCACGGTGGCGGCTTCCGCGCCCATGCCGACGCTCTGCGCGCCCTGACCGGGGAAGAGCGCGGCGACTGTGGCCCTGTAGTCGCCGAACGCATCGTCCGACTCCGAGCTGCTGGCGCGGCACTGTAGGCGGCGCTGCTGCTGCTCCGAGCGACGTGCGACCGACGAGAGGCGCTGCGACGCGCTGATGGTGGAGGAGGGTCGAGGGACGAGAGAGGGACGGCAAGAGGAAAAAAGCGGGGTGGAAAGCGAGAAGGGAAGAAGGCCAGGAAGATGAAAGGAGGGAACGACGCGTGGTGAGGTTAGAATAGGTGGTGGGTGGCCATTGTATCGACCCGGATGTAAACTTGGGCGCTGAGAACATGTAACGGCAAGGGCGGACTGCACACATGTAAGGACACGATGAGTATTTAAATTCTACAACTGGTGTGACGCTAGATGACATTCATTCCAGGTCGCGTGGGAGATAAATTCGTAAGATACCCTTGTACAATTCATGTGGTAGCGTCGGGCGTCATAGCCTCAGGCGACATGGCCTCGGGCGACATGGCCTCGGGCGACATGGCCTCGGGCGACATGGCCTCGGGCGACGGAGTACGAGTGTCCTCAGCTCTCATAGCATAATACCCACTTGCGACGCACTTACAGTGTCGACTCGCCGTTACCACACAAAACTGACAAGCCCTTGTGGAAAGGAGGAGGGCGAGGAAAGCGGAGTCAGGAGGAGGAGGGAAGGAGGAAGAGGAGGAGGTGAAGGAGGAGGTGAAGACAGGAGAGGCGAGAAGGAGGAGACGGGTAGGGAGAGGAGGAGAAGGTGAGAGTGAAGGAGGGGAGAGAGGAGAAGGGGAGGGCAAGGCAGCTCTGCGCGGCACGTGCGAGAAGACGGTTGGCGTCATTCAGGCAATTGGTTCACATCACTGGACACTGCCGTGGACTAATCCTCAATTATTTTTTCAGCCTCCGACATTTGCACACGCACGCATGCATGCACCCAGCGCGCGAGTGAGGCGATCCGGCAAACGGGCAGGCAAGCCGCCTTGCGAAATTAACCATAACAGTAAAGTTGGGAGGGAGCGATTACAGCTGAGACCCACAGAGTGGAGACCCACATCGACCCGGTAAGGTATCCAAACAATCACCTGCCGATGGATGGAGCGGCTCTAAAAGCGAGCTGGCGTGTGGAAAGCGGCCGGATGCCAGCGTTGCTGACGGCGCCCGTGAGGGCCGCAGACACACGCGATGTGACGGCTGCCATGATTCAGATCGATCAGGGAAGCTTGCAAAGAAAAGTTGCCTTTCCCTGCAATCTGAAGACACAGCAACCTCTCGTGAGGTGGACAAACAAAACAGAAAGCTGAAACAGAGGAATGGAAATGTTGCTTGAGATATGTAGAGTGGGAATCCACGGAGGAGCCATGGCGGAGGATTTCAGATCAGAAATGGGAGGTCCAGCTGGGATAAAAGCCAACTCCCAAATTCCAGAGGAAGGGTGGTGGTGGAGGAAATTGGGGGACAGGAGTGGTGGTGGTAGATTTTGGTGATCGGATTGCCGCGTGGATGTGACACGTGTATGATCGATGGTGATGTGCTAAGGTCATGAAACGTATGTACACGTCAAATTGTCGTAAGACTTGCAAAGCTGCTTGCATCGACGGTTATTACAGAGTGATTGAGGTTCGAGTCTGTCCAGCTGTTCCACGATGAACACAGTTGGCAGGTAAGGATGCCACCACACACATACTCGATCTGTGTATTCTTAGACCGTGACGTGCACATGCTCAATTCCTAAATTTTCTCAAACTAGGGATAAATGATGATTAATATAGAGGAGATAAGTAGGCCACAAATTGCATACAGATCTCAAGATACATGGGACCTCTCAGTGAAAGCACACTTTCGAGCTCACAGATCCAACAGGAAACTCGCTTCTGAACATTCTGATACTCCATCAAGCAGGACCACATCTGCCCGTACATTGACGTGCAGAGCTCAATCACCACGCAGAGCTCTCCGCCATGGCTCCTTCTGAGAACTTCAACTTACTCAATGTCATGCTTAGCTCTATCAGTTCGACCATCTGAATACAGATCCGGGATCTACTCATCAAGAGCTTGTTTATGATGCCAACATTGTGTTCACAGAGCGAACATCGGTTAGTCGTAACTGCTTCTATGAAGATCTCTGTTTTTCAGGTTAAGAAACTGTTTTTAAGCTCAAGACATTCAAGTTACTCTAAGGAAGTTAAAATGGTCGGGTCAAACCGTCGCTTAAGATGGCACCGTGAAAACAAGACAGGTTCAAGACAAAGAAGCGGAAAGTGCAAGTACAAGGAGGCTGGACAACGGAACATATTTCGTTTATCTGCCTTTGCTGCGATTCATCGTCTACCAAAGAGAGAGGAAGCTCATAGTCAAGTGCGGAGACCACCTCAATCACTAGCAGGAACGATCAAGGATGGACCAGAGCCAATTTTCCATCAGATTGAATTTATGACGTCGGCGGAACGGGACGTTTCACGAAATTTTGGCACGGCTCCTAGAGTATTTCAAGACGTTGACTATTTTCCTACTGGAATGTGTGAAGAAGGTTATTCCGACTTTAAGATTCTGAAGAACAGGAAGACAGAAGTCGATTCTGGAATTTTCCCTACGTTACAAGAAGCATATTTTCATTTGGAGGAAATAGATGACACCGTCAGAGTGTTTCGGCGCCATGATCAAGGCAAGCTACTCGAGGTGTTTTTCCCTCTGAAGGTGTTTTGCTCTCAGCTGCTCCTATCACACCGCTCACACAAGCTCGAACGACTGCAAGTGTGATTGGAAACATTCGTCGTCCCCAAGGCCCTGTCAGGCATCAACTTCTAAGCAGGGCAATTTCTGCTGTAACCCAACTCCACCAATCTCAGCAAGGCAAGGTCAGAGCCAATCGACCAAGGCTGAAGCGTCACATTCGTCACCAAGGCCCTGTTCAGCAGCAGCGACCCAGAGCTGCTTCTGTTGCAAACCAACCTCACCAGACCAAGGAAGGCAGGTTCGGAGGAGCCAAGCCACCAAAGCTGAAGCGACAAAACCAACATGAGGAATGTATCGAGATGCTTCTGCAAGTACTGAAGTGTGACAACGGCACAATAGGTTTTTGTGGCGGGCAAGCTGAAATGTTTAGGCGTTTGGTCTATAAGCCTCCGTAGAGATCTGGGAGGGTACGGTAGTATACACTACCTATGCCCTCTAGCACCGGTTACGACCGTGGTGTTTTTGCATTGTACGTGTATAGTGCATATTTCACCTACCAAAAAAAAAAAATGGGACCTCTCAGAATAGTTTTGAATGACATTTAGTGTTGGCCAAAAAACTAAATAAGTTTCTTGTATAACATTAATTATATATGTATATGCATTTATGCATACAATTTTCCAAAAACTATCTATTTTAAACAAATTACACGATTATACAGTCTCTTCTACGTAAAAGAGAGATCAATGTCTCACAATTAAGTGGATTGATTCAAACAGGGGAAGATAGGATTAGTGTATCTTTTTCGTGTAAAGAACTGTTATCACGATTTGGGCATCTGGAGCCGCGAAATAGCCACCTTGGAGTTTGAGAGGGTGGCAAAATTACCAGAGCCGAGGCGTTGATGGTCATCCCTTGGTTTCTCCTCGTACCTGCCTATACTCCAGCGAAGGAAAAGGCTCCCGAGTTTAGTCATTTCAGGGATTTCAGGCACCTTGGGATTGTCCGTTGTCCACAGACCTTGGCGGATAGAACAGGTGCGTGAGAGAGCATCAATGGTGGTCCAGTTCCAGCATGTGCAGCGAAAACATCTCCAGATTTTGCCTGATACGGCTGTTCGGGATACGTGTTCGTACCTGCGAAGTGGTACCAGCACCAATGCTGCAAGCAGCCTCTCCTGTGTCAGAAACTCACCATTTGGACTGTTGAAGGAAGCATCTGTAGTTCGAACTTTGTAGGACAACACGACATTTAGTAATCCGCCATTTGATTACTAGATTGTAGGACAACACGACATTTAAAAGCTAGTTTGGGTCTTTTCAACCCATTGCTGAGTAAGGCTCGTGCTCGCAATGGCGTCTCTTCATTTCGTGCTAGATTCAACCATCGACGGCAGGTCGTTGGCGATCGTCAAAGAAGTGAGACCTGGCCTGAAGTCGTTCCATTTGTCTGGTGTTCATATTCAGAAAATAAGGCATTTGAAGGGAGAATAGTACCGTAGAGAAGCATTCCATTGGAGATCTTACTTGGTCTCATTGCACGTTTCAGGCTCTTCAGCGTTTCGGACATTTGATTGCTATCGGTCAGCCTCATTCGTGGAACTATGGTGGAAACACCACTCCGAGCGTATCAGTCCACCACAACCGATGGGTTCCTGAGTCCAGCCACTTTGAGGTAAATGTTTTGCAGCAAATGGCTTCTCAAATTACAATTCACCTACTCCCTCGCGCTCTTAGAGTTTCATATTCAATGTTCGTTCTTCATTTAAATGTAACACCTTTCTCTGCTTCTCCCAGCTTGTCCAGGTGTACCCAGCAGCCGAGAAACTCAACCAGACGTTCGGTTTGAGGGAGTTCAACCATGCGCTGTCAGCCGCAAACCTCGCTCAATCCGCAACATCTCTGGCTCAGAGGCTACAACGAAGCCTCAGCGTCTCGTATCCTAACGCTGGCGGCTCTGATGCGGCTCCATTAAACCCATTTCTTATGGAGGCGGGTGGAGAAGCGGGTGGTGCTGAACAGTTTCTCAGTGGAGGGGTTGGCAGTCAGAGTAAGTGATGATGGCCGTGATTCCAGAAAGCAATTATTCAAATGTTTCCGTTTTTTTATCTGTCTATTAACCAACAATGCCTGCCAACCTGTTGTTTCCAGTGGCTTTTCTCGCATCCTTACTGCGAATGACTACCCAGCCAAATGCTTGGGGAAGCGTAGTTGAAGAAGCTGACAATGGAGAGTCGGTATCGCAGATTTCTACATCCAAGCTGCTGGCTGGAGCAAGCTGCAAAGTCATTTTCGTCTGTGGGTCCATTCTGCAGGACCCTTCTGATGAGAGCTTCCACTCAGCCGTGATGGTGTGTGTGTGTGTGTGTGTGTGTGTGTGAGAGAGAGAGAGAGAGAGAGAGAGAGAGAGAGAGAGAGAGAGAGAGATGAGAGGGGGGGGGGTGTGACAGTTCACGTTCTTGCACGTGTCTGCATCTGCTGCTGTTTTGTTTCAAGCGAGAAAGTTCACCCCGAGTTCGCTCTGCAGGAAGCTGCCACTCGATGTGTCTCTGTTGACTTCCTTGTAGTCCAGCCTGCTACGGGCAACAAAGCAAACCACCACAGGATGCGATCTGGTATTCTGAAACATTGAAGCTTTCGTACAGAACTTATGCTGTGATGCCAAGATGGTGACACGGTGGGCGAATCAGGAATTAACAGGCAATTGTTTGCAGGGTATTCAGGCGATGTTGATTCTCCCCCAACTAGCCATTCATCAAGGCTGGAGGAGCTGGAGGACGCTGTGTCCGGCTATGAGAACTGCTCCCTGCACTGCATGCTATGCGGTATGCTGTTCCGCCACTTGCTCTGATCTGTAATCTCCCTTACCTCGTCAAGACCTTCTCGTTCTTCAGAATGTTCTCCTGCATGTCTCACTTTAACACATACCGCTACAGCTGAGATTGGTCCCCCCCCCTTGCTTCAATCAAGTTCCAACCACGTGGATGCTGCTCTCACCCCCTGCAGATCCTCTGCAGCTGGATGCTTACACAAAGCGCTGGCTGCAGCACCTGCATTCATGTGGCGCAGACACCACCATCGATTTCGCCCTTCAGTTTGGAACGTCCAAGGCGAAAAGCAAGAGGACCCAGGGAGACAACACTGGCGCAGGGGCAGGAAGGACGGCGGCTCCACTCAGCATAACCTGCTCTGCGCATCCAACGGTGCTGCAACTGCACGACACCATTCAGCCGTGCCTGGTGAGCTGCAGTGCTTGCAGTACATGCTGTACCTATGATGTGAGCGATGTCCATTTGCCACTCGAGTTCCCTCATCACTTCACCTCCTTGAGCACACCAGCGCGAGTTCACCTTCACTATGCCAAATCTCTGGTCTTCACGCTGCCTCTTTTGTGTGGTGCTCGTCCTGGCCAACCCAATTCTCTGTTCCTTACTCTCAGTGCATTCAGATTCTCTCTCTTTCCTGCTTCCTGACCTCCTGTCCCCCCTTTCACCTCAACCCTTCTCCCACTTCCCGCCAGACCTGCCGCTGTCACGGAGTGCCTCTGCCATTCCCTTCCACCTTACCCAACCTCTCGAACAACAGACCCAGCACCCCCTCGTCTCGCCCCTCCAACCCTTCCCTGCCTCTCGCCAAGCCCCCAAGCCTGCGATGCCCTGTCTCCGGGCAGAGGCTGGATGCGAGTGATGTGACCAGCAACACTGTGCTGCTGGGAGCCTCAGGCACTGGTGGGAGACGGAGCAGTGGTGGTGGTGGTGGCTCATGGGATGGGGATCCTGGGGTTGACGCTTGCAGGATGTCAAGAGAGAGCGGTGGAGGGGAGGAGGATGCTTGGAGGAGGGGGTCTAGGGGGAGGTCGAGAGGAGGGAGGGTAGGTAGGGATGACGTGGGTGACGCGAGTGGTGGTGGGAGTGGGGGGAGGGGAACGCTTCTGCACTTGCCGTCGTTTAAGGCGGCTATGGAGGCTCCTCGGCTGCATGGAGGGGGGACCCCTGCTGTGCCTCTGACTGTGGTCAAGCGAGTGCCGCTGTCGTCAGTCAGCGAAGGTAGTCCAGGCAAGAAATAAGGGCACTCAATCAGGGAAGACACAGTCACGGGAAAAGTCACAATTCATGGTGTTGTGATGTGCTTGTGCTGATTCAGGAGAGACACGGGTAGGACATACGTGAAGTATTTGCTGGAAGGTAACCGTTTCTGGGCAATGAAGTATCTGCTGATTTGTGCTTGTGTGTGTGTGTGTGTGTGTGTCTGTGTGTCTGTGTGTGTGTGTGTGTGTGTGTGTGTGTGTGTGTGTGAGTGCGTGTGTGTGTGTGTGTGTGAGAGAGAGAGAGTGCGTGCGCGCGCGCGCGCGTGTGTGTGTGTGTGTGTGTGTGTGTGTGTGCACGCACGCACGCTTGTGTGCAGGTCTCATATTTGGCCTCCCACACGTTCTCATGCCATCTCAGGATCTGGAGCTCGACTTCTCTAACAGCACAGAGCTCTCCGAAATGGAGAGAAACGAGCACGGTGAGCATAAATCACACAAGCCACTTCACTCCCATCCTTCTCTTTCCCCTTCCATTCTGCTTTTACTTTCCATCTATACGTTCACCTCCCTCTTCTCCCACTCCCTCCTCGTTCACAATCGTCCTCTCGTGAAACCCGTCCTGTCCTTGGTGTTGCAGCGTTTGCTGCGCTGTGCCGCTCACTGAACCAGCATGACAACGGGCTGCTGTGCTCCAGCCTCGTCGATGCAGACACGCGCATGGACGTCTCCTTCCCCTGCTACTACCTCCTGCTGCCCACTGAAGCTGGATCGCTCCTCCTGAGGGTAGGTCAACTATGCTACCCCTCTCCAGTTCCCTGTTACGCAACAATGGCGGCCTACCCTTTCCTTTTCTCGTCCATTCTCGTTCAGCATGATGTGTTTATTCTTGTCTTTTACCTTGATTTCAGAGGGTGGCTTCAGCAGAGGAGCTGCTGCCCCTGCCACCAAGGCCGATCAGCAACCACGGGGAGGAGGACGAGGAGAAGGGGGAAGAGGTGGCTGCTGCTGTCGACTTGGCACTGTCTCAGGTGACTCCCCTTCAGGCCACTATTCTCGAACACACAATGTCTACCATGCAATGTCTTCCACGATGGCTACGTGGTTGCTGGTGGTAGGCGTGTATTTGAAAATCCCCACAAGGGTTAAGCATTTCACCTCACCACTGTCAAGTAAGTGGTGGGACGATCAGTCATTGTGAGCAAGGTCAGGCAAGGGTACTCCATCAGCAGCCTTACATTCATCGCCACTAGATCTTCATACTGCCTCCTATTCAATCACCTAATTCTCTACCTTTCTTGTGTTCTATGCTCCTGTTTACAACTCAAACCAAACCGTACTGCACCGCTCTGCACTCCCTCACCAGCTGGAGGAGGAGGCGTTCAACCCAGTGGAGGTGGAACGGGGCTGCCACCAGCGCCTGCAGTGGCTGCTCAAAGAGAGCTTGTACTTCCAGTGAGGGGATGTCATGGCTTTGGGGATGAAATGGGACACAGCATGGGCGTGGGCATGGGCATGCGGGATGGGTTTGGGCAGGGGTATGGGTAGATGGGCATGGGTCTGGGTATGGGCTGCTGGGCGAGTGAGTTATGTTTCAATCAATGCTACTGATGCAGTGCTTTTCTCCTAGCCCTTTCTCGCTGCTAGCTCCTCTTCGCCCCATGCACCCATTTATCCCGCATGCTCCCATTTCCATTGCCCTCGCAGGCCCATACCTCCTGGCCGCCAGGGCTCCAACCTGCACTCTGTCGCGCATGGCTCTCGCTCCTCCTCACGCTCCCCCTCGTCCTCATCACCGTCAGCCATCGCTGCCACCACATCTGATAGTCCAGGAGGGAGTTCCCCTGCTCAGCTCGCTGCTGTCTCAGGGAGAAGGGAGAGGAGGAGGTCTGGCTCTTCATTGCTCGTTGCTGCTGCTGGAGCTGCTGCTGTTGCTGGCGCTGGCGCTGGGGCTGGTGGTGGGTGGGGGGCACTTCCTGTTTCTGCCTCTATGGATCCAGAGAGGGAGTCTGGGAAGGTGGGGATGAGGCATGGTGCGGATTCGGATCTTTCCGCTGCTGAGGATTGGCAATCCAGGGCCTCAAGAGGGCAGAGATCAGCACAGATTCTTCAGATGATCAAGGAGAAGCGGAATCAGCTGCCGCAGCAGCAGCAGATGCAGCAGCAGCAGCAGCAACAGATGCAGTTTCAGAAGGAGCTCTCCTCAGGGCACCAAGCAAGCAGCCTACAAGCAGCAACTGCCGCAACACAGCCCCTGCGGCCACCCTTCGTCCCCACCCCTCCCCCACCTCGCACCACACAACCCTCCTTCCAGTCAACCGCCTCTGGTGCTATCTCATCCTCCCCTTCCCACCGCAAGCTCTTTCCTTACCTCTCCGCACCCCCTCGTGCGCCTTCCCCCTCCCAGCCCTCCTCCCGCTTCATCGTCACTACTTTGTCTCCTGTAACAGGGCATCCGGCAGGGAGAGCAGGGGAAGAAACTGTGGGTCGCATGGAGAGCACAGTTGAAACAGGAAAGGGTATTGACCCTGCCACTGCCACTGCCAATGCTTCTGCTGCTGCTGCAGTGTGTGCTCCAGGACAGTCACTACCAGCGAATAGAGGGTACCTGAGCACCCCTCCTGCAGATGGTGAAATGGAGACAAAGTCTGCAGATGATGCTGTAAGGTCTGCAGCTTCCGCTGCTGTGCCTGCTTCTGCTGCTGCTGCTGCTCCTGCTCCACGCCATGGCTTGCTCTTTCCCTCAGGGGACGAAGATGATATCGAGGAGGGAGGATCAGCAGCATGGGCTGTAGAGCTAGAGAGACTCTCAAACGGTGTGGGTAAGGCCACAAATGGGGACACTACCAGATTCGCAGGCGACTTGGGGGAAGAGCAGCAGAACATGCAGGCTGTGCAAATACTGCCTGACCTGCAGCTCCCTCCCTCCAGATCCGCCCATCCCCAAAATGCACCAGCTGCTCATCTTTCAGAGCGGGCTGCTCCCTCGGGCTTCTCGCGCCCTTCTCTTCCTCCAGCCTTGTCAGCAGACTCTCGAATCCGGCTGGCACGCAGGCAAACCGCAGAAGCGGTCCCCCTGTCCGCACCTCTGCAAGACAGCAGCAATCTGCAGCCACAGGCACAAACAGCTCTGGCTGTGCAGCGAAACCCTCTAGACAAGCCCCAGTTCTCCCAGGCGCCCAGATTTGCGTCTATCCCAGGGATGCAGAGGGCTGGCATTGGTGGTGGAAGGTACGTTCAACGAGTGCCTGGGGCACCAGGGCTTGGAAACTTGGAGTTGAGCACGAGGGGGGGTGAAACTGGGACGGAGGGTGAGAGGCCATCAGGAAAGGGGTCAAGAAAGGGGGGATTCAGGAGAATTCGTCAGGGAAAAGTATAATTGCAGTTCCTGGGGAGTTGGGGTCTTATCTCCATTCTACGCTCGCTGGTTTTTATGCTACCACTTGTGTTGTGGTACCGTACGTGTTACCTTGACCTGTGTTAGTAACATAATAAATCATTCCTGTAGGTAGAGACTGTAGGGTTAACGTTTACGGTACTCATTTCCGACATGCTTGGATTGAACACGCAACATGTGTAATGCAAGTGACTGGTATTGATGACTGACATAAACTTCATATGTACATGTTACATACATCCACATCCTTCCATTAACTTCATGATCTAGTACTGCCTGTACTCCTTGATCCCCACACGCCGCTGCTTCTCCATGCGCTCAAAGAAGCTACCATCAAAGATCCCCCGGATCTGCTCCTTGGTCACCACTCCCCTGTCATCGCGACACAGCAACCAGGTGGCACCCCACTCCAACTTCGATGCCACCCTGCACACACAAAAGAAATAATACCGTACATATGATGACAGTATGTGGGTGAAGGGAACCAAGCGAGTCAGGTCAATAAAGCAGGAAACAACGATGGCAGCAGAGATGGCACCAGATACTTGCACGTACCAGCCAAAAAAGTCCATAACATTCCGGTTGGCTTCAGTCATCTCGAGCATCTCCATCAATGTCAGGCCTCCCTTCCTGTCACGATCGTACTTGGAAAAGAGTTCCTCAAATTTCTGAGGAACAAACCTGCGATCCAGGAGGCACACAACAAAATTTCAATAGGAAAAAGAAATGAAAAATCCACAGTGCCATCGTGGTGGTTTAAGTGCCATGTATTCACACACCTGCCCTCAGTGTCGTACACCTCCGAGTCACTGCCATGCTTGCCCTTGTGGGCATTGCGAATGTATATGGGGAAGAAGGGCGACGGAATCCACCCCTGCACAGCAGAAGACAAGTGACATACCAGGAGATGAGCACAGCTGCACGGCAGTGATTGGGAGACTAGCAGAAGGGAAAAGATAGCAGATATCCAAGGAACCCACAGACGCACATCAAGAGTGAAATAGCTGAAGCTTCCATTGATGATGAGCATGCCAAGGAAGGACAACAGCATGTTGAAACCAACAGCACGGAATCCTGCCATTGGGCAAGGAGGGGAGAACGAATCTTCAAATTTAGCCAAGCAGAAAATGCTGCAATCATCCAGAGACAAGTGAACAGACAAGCAAGCAGATTCTTTTGACATACGATAACAAGGAAACACAGGAAGCATTCCGAAGGCGTCCAGAATTCCCGAGGTGGGAAGACCCACCTTCATAGGTCTCCCACGGGTAGATGATGCCGTCATTGTTGCGATCAAAGAAGGCGAAGTGCTGCTGCAGCACCGTCATGCCGCCCGTCACATGGCCCTTGGACCCGTTCGGGTGCTCCCTGTCCGCAGCAACCTCCGCACGAGGCAAATCTGCACAAGGGGATCGCCAAGCCAATCAGGAGGAGGGACGGGGAAAAGGGAAGAGGGAGGGTGGAGGTGGTGAGATTAATAATGGAGAAATGCAGAAAAAAAGCTTTAGCGTACTGCAGTGTGGAAAGTTTGTAAAAAAAAAAATGGCATGACAGTACTGCAAGATGCCTGACCGTTTGACAGCATCATGTGAAGAGGAGGAGTAAACAAATAGAATTCCCAACTGCAGCTGCTTACGTGGCTTGTCCACGTAGCTGGACAGGTCGTCCGTGATGACTGGGCGCCTCCACGTCACGGGAGTGCCGGGAGCCACGGTCACGGAGTGACGCGGCGCAGCAGCGCCAGTGTTCGCCATGGATGCAACCTCTGGTCTCATGCAATCCCCGCACCCTCCGCTCTTGGTTCAAAGCTCTCTACTCGACACGCTCTTCTCAGATCGAACGACCTCCGGTCAGCGCTCGATTACAACCTAGCTGTGACCCTCTCTCGCTGCGTGATAGGCCCAGTGGGAGCGAGTGAAACAGTCGGAATACTGCAAAACGGTAAGGCACAACGAGCAGAGCGCACGCGCCAATATCTACTAACTGGCTTGAGCTCCGTTCTCCGTTCCGTGGGCGGGGAGGGCGAGACGGGCGAGGGACGAGGAGGGGCGAGGAGGGGCGAGGATGGGCGAGGAGGGGCGAGGAGGGGCGAGGAGGGGCGAGGAGAAGCAGCAGGGACAGCGACGGGCCCTGGGGCAGGGCTGGATGGTTACGACGTGTCTGCGTGGCGCCGTGTGGGTCACGCTGGATGATCCGAAAGAGGGCCCAGCCCGTGCGACATGCGCGAGGCAGCTGCTTCGCCGCATGACGTGGCTCGGCGCGAGGCTGCCATGGCAGGACGCGATGCCACGAAAGGCGACTCCCTCCCTCTCTCCCTCTCGGTCGCACTCTCGATCTCGCTCGCTCCTCTCAAATCCCCTCCCATAGTTGCTCCTCTCGATTGAGCGCCGCGATATATGATAGTAGTTGGCATTCTTGACTGAAGTCCTCTTCCTCCTCTCGCTCGCTCCATTTGCCGCAGCTTCAGTTATTCGCCATTCGCGGCTCGTCGCACAGCACTGATCACCCACTTTCCGAGCAGAGGGAAATCGTCAGCACCGCTGCGCTATGCGTTGCATGCAGCCAATCGCGATCCGAGGTATCCTTTGTAAAGCTGTCGTGGGGGGAGCAGATGTTGCTGACGACAGTGTTGGGCAACGGGTTGTGGGACACCTGGCATAAAGAAGCACTCAAGAACATCGCTGTGAGGGGTTGAGCACGTTACCGTGTGGTTCAATCCAATGCGATACGGTTCAGCGTCTTTGTTGTGCGAGGAGTCAAATGCTTCGTTTGCTCCGCCTAAATCGAGAAACTGAGAGTAGGCGATATAGGGATGTGTGATAGTGTTTAGGGATGTCCTAAACAGTTATACCATGTACATCAATGGAGTCAAAGATAAACAAATGTACTACGTGATAGATTGCCACATCTATGCAACAACCAAGCAAATTCTCCAGGATGCCCTAAGTGAGCACATCTTCCAGCAGTCAGTCACAAGCTTGTATATCTGCATTTATACTTACTAGCAGTGCAAGAATTGCACTCGTGCATAGCATGACCTTAAGCTGCAATGGTCAGGTCCCGCTTGCCTTCCCAACCCCCTGCATTGACAAGAATGGTTATGTTTGGTGGCATCGACAGCTGACGTCTATCCAGCAAATAACATTGGAGGTGTCGGCATTTAAACACGGATGCGGAGATTACTAGTTTTGCACATGAGCGTCTGAGTGAACCCAGAGTAGATGAGCAGCAGTTCAGTCACTGCTGTATGCGATAGCAGGAATGCCACTACATGGTATGGAGATGGACGTGAAACAGTGAAATGCATACGAGAGGGTAAGGCATGACATGGTGTGGTATAAATGAGGAGGATAATTGCGGATGGAACGCCTATAATCAGGTAAAGCATGCCGTGATGTGGCTTGCAAGTTTACTGAACAGATGGATACGCACCTGATACGTGTTCGATGGCTGCAGAGACGGGACAATCTTGAATGGAACGGATGGCAGCGATGGCCGTGCGCATGCAAGGAAGGAACGAGCGGGTACAGCGCACGATGAAGCGAGTGGTTACACTGTTACGCTCGATAAACACCACTGCAAGCAGGAGGAACGAAAGGGAGGGACACCGAACTGGGGACACTGCGCGGTAGGTTCGAGAACGAGCACGCAGGGTTGACGAAAGAGGAAATTTCTCACCGTCGACAGTGGAGAAGGAGACGAGGCCTTCTGTCCCGTACAACGCTGCGATGGTATCCCCCAGCTTCGCGGACACAAGCGGTGCAGTCAGAAGGAAGGGAGAAGGAGAAGAGGATGTTGATGGACGCAGAGATTCGGGTTGCTGGAGATGCAACGCGATGCGGATGGCACGGCGTTTAATTTGAACCATCGGCGATGGTGGTACTAGGAGCAATCTACATATGGGCTTGATTGGGTGTCGAGTTCAGGGCAAGACGCGCTGCTTGCCCAGTATGAACTACGTCAATGCGGTTGTGGGTTTGAGGCTTCCTTCGCCATACTCGATACGTGAAAGGGAACTGGTTTTCGTAGTAGAGCGGTGGCAGAAGCAGTGTCTTAACAACAGAAATACAATAATCCATAACCTAAGAGAAACATTGATGCTGCATAATGTGCCACATTAAATCAGCAGAAAAATTCTTATCATTGTGTGAAAATACCCCACTAACATTACCATTCTGGGCAATTTATTTCTCTATATTTTTACTGAAAACTTTGAAATAATAGGTAAATTCAGTAGTATTTTATTATCCACCTTTACATACAAGCTTTTGATAATAGTTAATGATTTATATACAAGCCTTTGATAATTGTTAATACAACGTTACCCAATGTAGCAATATACGTGTGTTGAACTTTGTTATTCAACATGCAGCCTTGTACAAAAACATCATTCGGGGGCCAAAATGGAATAAAGTGCACCGGAAGTTCCGGAAGACCATCACCTGGGAATCTCACCAGTCCTTGCACTGATGCGAAACTCTCCAGCAAGGTTCCGCCGATGCTCTGGTGTCTGCCACGTCACTGAAATTCCATGTCGTGAAAGAATTTCTATCCCCTGATTGGCGAGCTTTGATTGTGAGATCTTCTGGTGGTACTCTCAGCCTGTCATGCGATGCCAAGTCGATGAGCTCTCTCGAAGTTCCAAGCCTTTGGGCAACCAACCCACCAGCCCCGACAAAGCGGCCTCTACTATTTATTCGTCACTTCAAGCATTCTTCATTCGTTAACAGGATTTCTGTGGTGCCAACAATCAGCTCTCTTTCACCTCCGATTTCCTGTTCTCCGTCACCATGGCTGCCGTCGCCCAATCCGCTGTGTTCTCCAGCGTCTTCGTCGGCCAGACCTCCGAGTTGGCCAAGTCCGTCGGCAATGCCGAGGCCCGTGTCACCATGAGGCGCACCGTGAAGAGCGCCCCCGAGAGCAACTGGTAAGTACCTTACTCGGATGTGTGTGAATATCCCCGGTTTTCGTTCGTATTCGCCGTTTCTCTTATTTTTGTTTTTATATCTCTCGTTTTCTGTACATTCAGGTACGGTCCCGACCGCCCCAAGTTCCTGGGCCCCTTCTCCTCCCAGACCCCCGCCTACCTCACCGGCGAGTTCCCCGGTGACTACGGCTGGGACACTGCTGGTCTGTCCTCGGACCCCGAGACCTTCGCTAAGAACCGTGAGCTGGAGGTCATCCACGCTCGCTGGGCCATGCTCGGTGCTCTGGGCTGCCTCACCCCCGAGCTCCTCGCCGGCTCCTTCGACTTCGGCGAGCCCGTGTGGTTCAAGGCTGGCTCCCAGATCTTCTCCGCTGGCGGCCTCGACTACCTCGGCAACCCCTCCCTGATCCACGCCCAGTCCATCCTCGCCATCTGGGCTACTCAGGTGCTCCTCATGGGTGCCGTCGAGAGCTACCGCGTGGGTGGCCTCGAGGGCTTCCAGGAGGTTGAGGACCCCATCTACCCCGGCGGCAACTTCGATCCCCTCGGCCTGGCCGACGACCCCGATGCCTTCGCCGAGCTCAAGGTGAAGGAGCTCAAGAACGGCCGTCTCGCCATGGTGTCCATGTTCGGCTTCTTCTTCCAGGCCATCGTCACCGGCAAGTCCCCGCTGGAGAACCTGAACGACCACTTGGCTGAGCCCTCCATCAACAACGCCTGGGCCTATGCCACCAGCTTCGTCCCCGGTGCTTAAATGCGTGAAATTGTTTCCTAATTGTATTTAGTGCAATTTTCACTTTAATTTGTCTTGAAACACACCATGTAATACCATGAAACGCACAATCAGCTCTGCATCGGCATGAATCTCTGTTAGCAAACGCGCTTCAGGTCAACTTGTGCTCTGGAATGGTTAAATTCGTGTTGCAATTCCAGTCACAAGCAGGAAATCAGTTTGAATGGCTCCTTCAGGGCGAAGGTTGGTAACCGCTGTCGACCGTCTGGATGAACAGTAAGCGTTCACGCTGGGCATGTTGTCAGCGCATGTTGTTGATGCTCGAACAACTTCTAGAATGTACTTTAGCGCGTATGGTTGAGGAATCCCCATCCAACCACGATCAATGAACAGTCCAATTCAGCTGCTCAGTGTGACCAGCAGGCAGGACCAACCAACATTCTCCAATTCACCACATCACACCATTACGTGCACTCTCGAGATTATTCCTCAGTGTCTTCTGGCCTCTGCGACACCGCAGCTATTTTGCGACACAAAAAGTGAGCTGCAATTCAGTGCGACGTTTCGTCCGGTTGTCTGCGCTCCTCCCGCGGTAACGAGAGCGGTTTTTCCCCAGGACCAACGCATCAGCAGCACAGCTCGTCTTCACTTCGCACGACTTTTAGCAGGCGTTACTCCGTTTAAACCAACAGCGCATTCTTGTCCCACCTCAGACGCCGCTTATGGCGGACCACCAGGGCGAGGAGCACGAGGGAGTGGCGGATAGAAGGGGCGGGCTGGCGCACGGCTCGAAAGAGAAGAAACCGCGGTACGGATGGGAGGGATGAAAGGGACTTGGGGGCTGGAGGGAGGAGGGCGCTGCAGGGGAAGTATGGGGATGTCAACGATGAGTAGTGGGAGGAACACCCCACAGGGATGTCAACCTGCTATCTCTCCCCCTCCTCTTCGACTCACCGCACCTCCCTTCCTTGTCATCCCACGTGCGCTACCCACGTGCTGCTCCTCATCTACCCCCTCCCCACGTGCTCCCATGTTACCTTCACAGCAGTCCTGTGCGCGCCCGTCGCCCTCCGATTTGCGATCTTGACCTCGCTCTTGTTTTCTTGCGCGCATCCTGCAACCATAAAACCTTCCGGCGGCTGTGTGTCCGTGTGTGCGAGTGGTAGAGGGAATGTGTATCGAAATGCGCGTTGGCGAACGTCTGTATGTTACTGCGTGCGTGCGTCCGTGAATCACGAGCCTCCACGCGTTTCCTGTTTGCCACCATGAACAATCACGCGCGATTGTGTGCAATCGTGCCAATGCATGCATACATGCGTGCGTGCATTCTTGCGTGCATATGTGCGTGAGTGCACCAGGCGCAAGGTGCAGTGGGACGAGGGCAATCTGACGTACAACGAGGAGCACAAGAGCGCCACCATGACCATCGACGAGCCCAAGACGCCCTTCCACCAGCTCTCCCTCGACCCTGACGAAGGTCCCTCCCTCCCTACCCGCCCACGCCCTCGGCCTCGCCCTCGCCCGTGCTACACTCTGAACCCTGCTTTTCCCTGCCTCGCCTTGTTTTGTCACTTTGCTGCTACTCCTTTCTCCACCTCCCACCTTCCCTTCATTTCTTGACATTATCTCCTCCCCCCATTTTCCCTTCCCGATCCCAGTAACCATTCCAATCCATAGACTCAGCTCCGTTCCCCTCTTTATCCAATCCACCCTCTCACCCTCGATCCGATCTATGCCTGACTTCCCCTCCTCTCCCCGCTCTTTCCCCTCACCCCCCCTCTTCCTCCTTCCCTTCCCAGCGGCTGCTCTCTCCCCTGTGCTGCCGCCCGTACCCGACCCCGCTCACAGCATTGCTGCCCAGGCTGACGTCATCCAGGCCAAGCTGGCAGAGGTTGCTGCTACGTCAGCTGCTGAGGGTGCATGTGACAGGGCGGATTTCGAACGTGAGTGGATTGGCAGTAGGTGAGGCCAGCAACAGAAGAGCTTGGAGGTGTCTCAAAAAACATTAGCTAGAATAACCAAGACAGGAACAATCTCTCCAGAATTTCGTTCTTAACGGATGAAGAGTGGATGGAAGGGAGGAGGATGTGTAGGGAGGAGGAGTATGGAACTGTTGCAGAGTGGATTCGTGTGTTAGACAGACAATAACTTTCTCGTTACACGTTTCTCGTCATCCTGGTCTTATGGCCCACTTCCTCCAAGCAATCCATTGCACAAACCCTCGGACCCACAATGCACCCATCCCTCCACTCCCTTCGTCTCCCAATCCCAAGCACATGCCATATACATATCCACCCTGTCACCCAGGCCCCCTCTTCCCAACCTTGTCTCATGGTCCCTTGGGATCCCCAACCCTCCCCCTGTGCGTCTTCCCGCTCAGGCTGGATGCAGGAGCGTGGCCAAACACTTGACCCTACCACTTTCCGTGCTAATGCTGGTATGCTCCCCTTTGATTGAATCGGCCAGGCCTAGCCTCTCTGACCTAGTTTTCAATTATCGAACACACCCACACGCACACACACACACACCACACGCGCGCACAAACACACATGCACACATACCTTTTTTTTCCTTCTTCCGCCTGCTCCCCTCTCCCCTCTCTCCCCTCCCAACCTCCCACTGTCTCTCTCCACCATGTGTGTTCCCTGTTCCCCATCTCTCCTCCTCCCTCTCCGCCAACTCTCCCCTCTCGCTCCCACCTGCCACCCAAAAACCCACCGCTAGGCGGGGAGGGTGGTGGCGAGGGGGGCGGTACAGATGATGACTTTGAGGAGCACAGGAGGCGGCACTATGACGAGTTCAAGCGGGTCAAGGAGCTCCTGGCTAAGGGGGCTCTTGACGACGATGACGAGGAGGAGGAGGAAGAGGGGAAGGGTGAAGGGGAGGAGGGGGAAGAGGGCAAAGCACAGACGTCGTGATGTGAAGCAGCGTGGTTCAGAAATTAAGTTTCTGGGCAAAACGAGGTTGTTACCTGTATTTACTCACGGTTAAGTGTAGTGTATGCCAAACATTAGAGGAATAATATTGTGAAGATTCTTAACAGTGGCTTGCCAAGATGGATTTAGTTTGCAACATTATAGACTGCTCGCATGCTCCACTAAACTTGCTCCTTGCAAACTTCCAATACAATACATGCTACAATAAGTTCACAAAATTTTACTCTTGCGTTCATGTTTGGAGTTTTTCTGCACACTACGGAAGTTTATGAGCGGGGATTCAGCTATCAAGCTGGTCAGACTGATGTAAGTTCATTGGCCTACCATTTTTACCTAGTACCGTATGGCGGATTCGCACACATTTTCGGTTGGCTTGCAGATTTAGATTACCCACTATAGAGACAAATATTCCGTTGTATTAACAGGACGACATTCAACTAAAGAAAAACATATACAGAGAATAATAAGTACCACAAATGCCATAGAGAACGGGATCAAGAATTCAATGCTTAGCAGGGTCCAAAATTGACTGGGGGGGCAACAAAGCACCGCCTCCCAAGTGCGATAATGGGGGTAGGAGCAGCAAGCAAGTATAAGCAGCCGGAGAGCATGCTCATTACGAGAAAGCCACTGGATTGCAGCTGAGGCAAAATTGGGGCTGCCTGTCCATCCACTGCCAGCATGACAGTCAGAGGACAGGGCAAGCCAAGGGACATCAAAAAGAGCCCCCATCCTCCCACACCTGCTACGGTATGGCTGCCCACAAGGGAACAAGCCAGAGCGGCAGTGTGGAAGAGGGGGATGAATCTCCCATCTCAGCATGAAGCTCCGCACTGTCAAACCCGAGGAGAGAGCGCCTGGTCTTAGCTTCAGACGCAGCAGACCGCCGCCAGGTCACAGTTAATATTGAACCACCATCAGCTTAAACATCAGCGCCAAAGAAACCATGCCAGTAAGATGGTGACACACTCCTCCTGCTCGTATCTTCCATGTCTCCTCTCAAATAGCCACCATCTCCATCTCACCCTCCTCCTCCTCCGCGGCCTCCTCATCCTGGCGCACCAGAGCATACACCTTGATCAGCGACGCGAGGCTCGCGAGCTCCTCGCCGCCAAGTGCGGCCACGGAGGCGGCGGTGGTCATCTCCACCTCACGCTCGCCCTCCATCACCATCTCCATCTCGCTGCCGCCCCACCGCCCCAGCCCACGCACCCACGTCAGCACGCTGTTCGTGCTGCTGCCCATGTCAGCCACAGGGAGCCCCGTGGTTGTCGCCGTCATCACGAGTGCGACTGCTGCGGCCACGCCGAGAGCGGAGAGCGCAGGGGAGGTCGGAGAGGGGTAGGTCTTGTCGGCGGGAGCAAGAAGGGGCTTGGCTGCGGGAGAGGTGGCGGCTATGGCGGGGGTGGTGGCGTGATGTTCATGCTCCTCCTCCACCTGCCCGAACATCTGCATGGACACGCTTCCACCTGAAACCAATCAAAGAAGAACCAAAGAAAGAACACATATAAATTTAGCAAGAGGTCGAGTCTAAAACGGAAGGGATGGTGGTGACTCGAACAGCAAAACGATCCGGAAATTGATCGCGCGCAACTCACCAAGAATCAACCCAGCGCCAACCCATCCAGCCGGGCCCCACCGCTCGCCTAGCAACACCCACGCGAAAGCGGCGCCCCAGAGCGGCTCGAGCGTGTACACCATGGCGGCCTCGGGAGCCGACACGTCCTTGAGCGCCACGACCTCAATCCACAAGCACAGCGCGGTCGACAGCACTCCGGTATAAACCATCTCCACCCACGGCCACGCCGCGAGCTCCCGCCAGTCGCCCGCGATGAGAGACTCCCAGCCGCAGCCGGCGAGGAGGCCGGAGGACGAGCCGACGGAGACCCAGAGGGTGGAGAGCACGGCGGTGACGGCGAGCTGGAGCGAGATGAGCGGGAGGGCTTCGGCGGTGGTAACGTGCTTGGCGTGGTGCTCGGAACGCAGGATGTGCACGCCGAAGACGAGCGCCGAAACGATGGTCCACAGGTCGCCCATCTGCGCGGCGCGGATAAAACGGGCGGAATGCGGATGGGGAAACTGAGCTAAAGCACGGCGAGGGAAAGGCGGGGCGGAGAGAGACCTCGGAGAGCTAACCAAGAATCAAGAGGAGAATTGAATGACTCGACAAGATGGAAGTGTCTGGAAGAGAATTGAAGCGTTGAATGACTCAGCAACTTACGAAGGAGGAGTCGGCGCCGGAGGATTCAAGGAGCCCGACGCCGCAGATGGCGGCGAGGCCGGCGACCCACGTGACGGGCGGGATCTTGGCGCCGAAGAGGCCGGCGAGGATGGGCACCTCGATGACGGTGAACGTGCCGATGAACGACGCGCGCCCCGCGTCGGTTGTGAGGAGTCCAACGGCCTGCGTCACGTACGCGAGGCTCGCCCACACGCCCAGCTCCAGCCCCGCGCGGCGCACGTGCGGCGTGCGCAACGCGGAGGCGAGGAACGGCGCGAAGGCCGCCGCGGCGATGGCGAAGCGCGTCGCGGAGAAGGTGAAGGGGTCGAGGACGGACGCGGCCTCCTTGACCACCGTAATGTTGCTGCCTGGGAGGACGAGGCGCAGGCGTAGGAGAGGAACAAAAAAAATAGGAAGGACAAAATTAACACGGGAACGGAAACGAAGAAGCGAGGGTGGCGGAGAATTAGGAGAAACAGGTTACTTGAGCAGGGACGTGACTCACCGTATAGAAAGGTGAGGACGTTCAGGAGAATGAGGCCTCGCACGTGGGCCGGGATGGCATCTTCCACTTTCTTCACCACCCCCGAAAACGGATTCCAGCCTTGCCTCTGCTCCTGCTCCTGTTGCTGCTCCTGGATACGCGCACTCTCCGCCGCACTTGTCGCACGGATTAACCGTTCGAGCTCCTCCCTAACAGCCTCGGAGTTTCTCGCGCCGACGGAGGGCGATGGGCCGGGCACGTCGAAGAGCGACGGGTGCGCGGTGGACTCGGGAAGGGACATGGAGTGACGGACCTCCGCGCATCGCGGCACGGCGCCGTCGATGCTCCGCGGCTCCCGAACGGTGCTGAAGGCCGTGGGGTCTGACGCAGGAAGCGACGGGATGACGAATGGTCGACTGGAGGGCGATTGCTGCGAGGAGGAAGTGGAGGAGGAGGAGGTAGTGGTCTCCTCCTTGCTGTTGCTGTCGTCCGTAAACCACTCAGCACGCGGGACTGATTTCGCAGCTGCGGGTCTTCTGGAGCGGACGGTGGATCTGGGCAGTGCGAGGGAGGAGAGATGGATGTTGGAACGGAGGTTGGACGAGCGAGAGAAAGCAGCGGTCGCGCGCTCAGCGCAGCTCGCGCTGCCACCTCGGCAGATTCTGGTCGCGCCGAAGGTGCCGGCGGCGGCTGTGGTGGCGTTGGTTGCAGAAAGATCCATGAGGAGGCTCCCCACGCAGCTCCTGTGCGCCATGGCGGCGGTAAAGTATTTCTGCTCGAGAATGTACGAGCAGTAGAGAAAAAGAAGCTGTGCAGTCACGGAAGGGCCACAAAACTGGGTAAGCAGCCGCTTCCCTAACAGCGATGCTTCTCACAGCTGAACGGAGGCGTGGAATCTGATGATTGATGAAGTTGCGCTTCCCTAACAGCGATGCTTCTCACAGCTGAACGGAGGCGTGGAATCTGATGATTGAAGTTGGAAAGATTCGAGATGGCCGAGGGCTCCTAATACCCCAGCTGGTGTGAGGGTTTGTGAATCCTGATGCGACGGATCTGGCTGTGGGTAAGGAGACGAGCCCAAGAAGAGAGTGGAGGTGGGGGCGGCGAGAGGAGGGAAGCACAGAGTTCTCTCGGCAGGGTTTCGTTCGATGGAGATTGGATGGCAACGCTAGATGCAACGCTTCTCAAGTGAACGAGCAAAAACGAGGAGAACGGGACGGGGTTTCGGGTGAAATGCAGCGAGAGATTCTAGGAGTGACTGGGAGAACGACGAAGTGCAACGTAACGAAGCGGACGTGATTTGAACAAAATATCTTGTCGCGATGATGATGGAGATGAGAGCGGAAATCCGCGACTGACATCCATTGGGAGGCGGCGGAAATGCCGCGTCGGTTTGCTGCCTGGTCTGCGTGGCGGTCGAGAAGCTGCGCTGGTGGAAAGCTCCGAAAAGGCATCGAACGTACGAAAGTGGCCGACTGACGGCGTTCGTCGTTCGTCTCACTCGTCCTTCCATTCTTCCCTGCTGCGTAACACTTGTGCTGCGAATCGCGATGCTCCTCGAAGCTTGGCGCCACACACCCGTTGGACGGGAACATTGTGGTTGTGAGAATGCCAAAGGTGGTAGGGGTTTGGGTTCGGTTGGTTTGTGCTGTTTTGTAGCATGAGGTGCGGTGCGGCGGCGTGGACCCCCGAACCCCCGCACGCAACCATGAGAATGCCGTGTTGGTCGGGGGCCCATCATCTGAATGATTTCGGTTCGGGGATGTCGAGGTCAGGAGCGAGACGGGATCACTCCTCTGCCAGCAAACACTGACTGCTGAAATGCAGTTGGTGGATGCTGATTTCGACCTGGCTGACATGGAATTGCGGTAAACCCGCAATCATACTGCAAACGCACGAGAAATCGGGTGATTTCAAGGAGCCTTTCGTAACGCGTGCGAAAAGACGACATTCTACCATTCGCCTACGTCAGAGCGTTGAGAAATCGCGAAAAAGTGGCGTGGTTGTTGCACAGGTCACAGGAGAACACGTCACTCTGACGCAGGCATAGAGGCAACAGGCACCAGATGCTAACCACGTGATCCGAAATACCGCCTCTCCAACCAACCACAACACGCAATGGCAGAATCACCCCAGCAAAAAACGACGTGGCGTTCTCACCCGTCCCAAGAACGATCACCACGTGGTAACGAGGGGTTCCTCCAGCTGCGGATGACGAATAGTGCTGCCTCACGACGCGCCAAAGGAGGACCCCCTGAAACTGGCCGCAAGTCACACGTGGGACCCAGAGTAAATACACACGCATGTGGAAAACTGGCAGGAATTCAGGGTGGCTGGGTGAGGGAGCAATCCCCGCTGCGGCAGCTCGTTCATCCCTTGTTTCGTGTGTTCACCTGACATATACACTCCTTTGTATCATACGAAATCAGCTTCCATCAGAAGTCAAGAGATTTTCATCGCGCCTCCACAATAAGTGACTCCTTGCTATGCTCCGCAACTTCTCCGCCTCATGGCGGCCATGGATTTTACCTAGCTCGTCCAAGTTAACGTCCTCGCTACAATGCATTTGAAGTCCTGACTCAATCTGTATTATCGCCGTTAACATTCACAATGGAAGTTCAGTCATTTCCGCTGACCTTGGGCTCTCTAGTTATCAGGCGAATTGTTTCAGGCTCGGTCATGCACTCCCAAGGTCGTGTAACTCACAAGTTCCTAACCATGGATCTCACAACAGTGTACAATCCACAGCTGGTGTTCTTCGGCCTATTGTGAAGAATGACATCACCAAAGCGCTATCCTCGGGATTACAACATTTCCTGTATCAGCAACGGGATCCTGGCAAGCCAAGAATACTACTTAAGGCTGTGCTCAGTCGTCAGGCAGTACAAGCCTTTTCAGCCATCAAGTGTTGTCAACACCTGCTTCTTTTGCCTCGACTTCATCATTGCAAGATGTCTCACCCAGCTGATGTCTCGGTTCTGCCTAAGGGTTAGCGCTCCCGTCCTGCTGCTGACAACTTAATCTCCAACGGTGTTGATGGTCAACCTGCACTGGATCAACAGTCGAGAAGTCTCATTGTTGACAATGAGGCTCAGAAAGACAACATTTCTGCGGTGACTGACAAGCTCAAAGGCGTTGATGTCTACGTACCTGGTGGATCTGGACTCTCCGTGGCTGACAAGGCCGCCATGACCGCTGATGGTTACCTGGATGAGGACTCGGATGATGAGATGTTGATCGATCTGGACAAGGAGGCTGCGTCTCGGTTGCGTTCTGTCATTATCCCGTTGATTCCTATGATGCTTGAAAAGGAGGTCTCTTCTGTGATTGAAACTGTAAAGGCACTAATCAAGCGTGGTTGGTACACAGAGTTATCTGATGGTGCTGCAGCAACGACCAAGTTTCAGGAACTGCTTCCTGCTTACGTCGCCAAGACGCGCTTCTGTTGCCTGCAAGTCTCCTTCATCATGGAGTCCGATGCGCTTTGGGTGCAGAAAAAGGACGTGGTGTATCAGCCGCTTACGAACATGGGTCAGCTGGTCACGCTGCACTGGCTGCATGCTGCGGATTTGTCTTACGCTCGTGAGAAGGCGATGAATCCACTCGCCATCGAAGTCATGATCCGTGGTGTCTCTGCCGCTGTTGAACTGGATCTGCTTCATGACCGTCTGGAAACTTACAAGCTGAAGAGCACCCAGAAACCGACTTTCCTGCGGTGCACGTGTCTACATCAGGTGCTGCACCCAGTTACTGGTGCTGATACTGATGTGGTAAAGGCGCTGGTCTACGCTCACCCGGGCTCAAGCCGCTGGATTCATGCTGTCGCGGATCCTGCTGACCGCGCGAAGAAGCTCCTCCTTCATTACCCTGCCTTATCATGCGCGCTCTGTGGTGGCAAACATCATGATAAGTATCATGACGTTTTTATCACTGAGCGTCAGAATAACGTAGGCAAATAGAATCTTACACTGGGGAAGGTGCACAGGCTTAACGGTAAACGAATTACGTACAACTCTCGCCGGTCTCCTTCTCTCTCTCCTACCTCAATCGCTAACTTTTTGCTTGATCTTCGCAGCTGCGTCGTTGAAAGCATTCTCGATGATGCTCCCCATCCTCCGCGATCCGGCCATAGCCTTTGTCTCAACTGGCGGCAGCAGAGAAGACTGGATCTGCACACAAGCAGGGTGCGGGAAGGCGAAGGGGAAGAGCTTCATGTCAGCGGCCGATCACATCACTGTTGCTGCTCATCTGCAGCAGCTGGAAAAGCCTGGATCTGCCACAAAAGCCTCCCTCGACAGGATGAACCTCACCGTCATCCGCAAGGAGTACGGCCTGTGACAGACTTCAATGATTACCTGACTGCTGCTGCCTGCTGGAGCCTTGGTGTTAGCGTTGCATGTGTAGCTTCTTTCCTCAGCCTGTGGATGATCAGGGGCTGCAAGGTGGTGTACCAATGATTATCAAGAACCACATCACATTCGCGAGCCTCAATGTAAACGGACTAGGAAACAAGACTGAGCAGAACCGGGTAACTGACTGGATTAAGACAACCACAGACATCGCCATCATTGTAGACACTAGAATCCATGCACATCATACCTACTGGACAGAGCTCGCCTCAGACTCCGCTACAGTTCTTACCTCCTCCCCTCCTCTCACTTACTGCTGATAGGAGACCTGAACCTGACTGAAAACTCCAGCCTAGATAGATCTTCGGGCTCGGGGTCATCCACTGAGAACGAGAAACTCTTCTTACGCTGCGCTAGCTTCCAACTCTCCGACGCATTCCGCACGCTGCACCCGAGAGCTAGGGAATACACCTTCTATGATAGATCCCATCAAGCCAGCACGAGAATAGACAGAGCCTTAGTCTCGCACTTGCTTCTTGTTAACGGGAATGGAGTGTTGGCCTCGCCCTCGCTTGGGCAACGCTGACGACTTGGTCGGATGTACGGGAGTAGCAGCCGACCGTTCACAGTGGGAGAGCTGCTCGACAGGCTTCGTCGAGCTGCAGGGGACCACTGTGGTGCTGCTGTCGACTAGGGAGCTCGACAGTTGCAACTGACTGGTCTGGGCGACGGGTGGGCCGTCGGCCAGGAGGGGCAGTTCGACCGGGAGGTCTCCGTCGGTTTGCAGCTCGACCAGGGGGTCTCCGTCGACCTGCAGCTCGACCGGGAGGTCTCCGGAGCACCCCGTCGACCTGCAGCTCGACCGGGAGGTCTCCGGAGCATCCCGTCGACCTACAGCTCGACCGGGAGGTCTCCGAGGCATCCCGTCGACCTGCAGTTCGACCGGGAGGTCCACGGAGCAGTCCGTCGACCTGGCAAGTGAGCAGCGCTCGACGAGGGGAGCTCGGCGACAACCGCTGACGGTTCTGGTCGACGGAAGGGGTCCGTCGACCAGAGGGTAGCTCGACGGGAGTTATGGTCGACCGGAGGCACCTGGTGGTCGACCAAAGGGACCTGGTGGTCGACCAGAAGCAGTGGTGGTCGAGTGGAAGCACCTGGTGGTCGACCGGTGTCGACCGGGTAACCTGCTCGACGAGTTCTGCGCAGACACGCGAACGTCGTCGAGGTTGCGATGGCGAAGACGACTGCGGGCTGGTATCCCGAAATCGATGTGGCTGGTCAGGCGCAGACAACAGCCGACGGATACCCAACGAAGCAAGTCGGGCCAATCGTCTGCGTGCACCTGCGAGCGTGCGCACTACTCTGTTCTACAGGGCAACGCTGGACAGCCGCTCTGCTGCAGCGT